GGTTGTAATTAGTATTTGGGTGGTGAACATGATGTAATCTATGCAGAAATAGAAGTATAATGATGTACACCTGAAATTTATACAATGCTATAAACCAATGTTACTGCAATAAACAAAAAAGTAAAAAAAAAAAAAAAGAATAATGCTCTTATGAACATTCTTGTGCATGTTTCCTGGTACAAATATTCAAACATTTCTGTGAGGAATAAACTTAGGAGTAGAATTGCTGTTCCTTAGAGTATACACATGTTCATCTTTAGTAGATGATGCCAAATTTTATTCAAAAGTGGTGTTAACAATTTACATTTCTACCAGTAATGGATGAGTATTCTAGTTTTGATAAACAGAAGTTCTAAATTCCAATTTATTTCAATTTATCAATCTTTTCCTTGGTGTGGGAGCCTTTTGTGTCCTGCTTAAGAAAGTTTTGCCTACGAGGTCACAAAAATATTTTCTTATGTTATCCCCCAGAGCTTTACTGTTTTGCCTTTCACATTGATATCTCCAACCAAGTGGAACTCCTATGTGTTTATGGTGGCAAGTAGGGGTCAAAGTTGTTTTTCCCCAATGGGTACTCAATGAACCATGTACCACTTATTAAATGGACTATAGTTTCCACAGTACTCTGCATTGCTGTCTTTGTCATAATTCAAGTGTTCATATATGTGTGGTTCTGTTTCTGCTCTTCAAGACAGCAATTTTTAGTTTGGGAGTGTCAGTGAGAATTTAGCAAAATTTTAGTGAGCACCTGCTTAAGTTTGAATGAAGACTTTTATGGATAAATTCCAAAAATCCTAAGTATCTGATATCTCTACTGGAGCTTCAGGCATGCCACAACCTTCTCATAATGAAGTTGACCTGGTATGAGATTTTTGGTTGGTCACCAAGATTAGGTGTGCCTTTTTATCACACTGCTAATAGCAACTCAAGGGGCTAATTTCCCACCATTGTCTCCACTTAACACAGGAAGATATTAAGGGTATGAGAATAAAAATTACATACTTAGGATCATGAAAGGAATGAGATTTTGAGATATAGTAGTTTTTTTAAAAACTCAGATTCTAGGAACTGAATACCTAGATTTATATCATAATCCTGCCACCTAAAGGCTGTGCAACCTTAGACAAGTCACATAAATTATCCTAATTTTTCTCTCTAGCAAAATGGAGAGAATAATAGTGTTTTGCATTAGCGCTTTTTCTCTCTAGCAAAATGGAGAGAACAGTGTTTTATGTTGACAGTGGTATATACAACATTATTATTATTATTAATTTTATTGGTATAATCATACAATAAATGGAAGTAAAGAACAACACTCAGCTTGCAGGAATAATTTATTATCAGTGTTTCTCACCCCCTCAGTATTCTTCACTTTCGTAAGATCTTATTCTGAGAATCACAGGATGATCAAAATGTGTTTCCATTACAGCTCTGTGTCTGAAACCGGAGATAGGAAATGGCAATCTGTCTGTAGATAAGGATCTATATGTTAAGCCTGAAAATGTCACTGTCCAGTGTGACTCTGGCTATGGCGTGGTCGGCTCTCAAAGTATCACCTGCTCTGAGAATGGAACCTGGTACCCAGAAGTGCCCAAGTGTGAGTGGGTAAGTGGCACACATTTCAGGGTGTTCTATCACATTCTAAAAATGTAGCCTCCTCCAGAGTACTGTCAGCCATATTGATAAGATGTGACTTTTGTCAGGACTCGTTTCTGAGTTGTTTAAATCACTTTCAAAATCAGTAATTTTCTCCTCACAGCACTTTGTGAGCTCGGTAAGGCAAGATCTAATTCTCTCATTTTATAGCGAGAAGGACCAAGCCCCTGAATAGGAGGGTTCCATAGATCCGGGTGACCTGGCCCTCAGCCCTGTATTTTCTACAATTAATGCTATGCTTTTATATAGCCATCAGAACAATCCTTTCAGCTGTCCCTGAAGAGGCCTCCTGGGTGTCTCTGCAGCACTGACCCCTCCCTGCCTTAACAGTTATTCATTGCTGCCTGAGAGCAGCGTTGGTCTGGGCCCTAGAGTGAACACTTTGCTGAAACACAAAGTATCTTTTGATTTCTTTCCACCAGTCCTGAGGAGGGCCTTAATACTCCAATTTTGCTGTCATCAGGGAGGCATCCTGAAGGAATCTTATACCTTCACAGTTTGGAGAGAAGCCTCTCAAAATCTATCCTTTTATCTCTTTTAGGAAGTCCATCAGGGCTGTGAGCAAGTGCTAGCAGGCAGTAAATTCATGCAGTGTCTCTCACGCCCAGAGGACGTGAAAACAGCCCTGCAGGTGTATAAGCTGTCTCTGGAGATTAAACGACTGCAGCAAGAGAGAGACTGAAGAGGAACTCCAGTTAGAAATCAATATATCTATTTTTTCCTCCCTCCTCCCCACAAAAATAGAGAAGTGGGTACATTTCCCTTATTAGCAACTTTACTATTCCTTAAATACTACTATTTACTGGAAAAAAATTTATCTATGTTAGGTGAATCTTGATATTCTTAGTGCCACCGATAACGTGGAGCTATTGCTTCAGGAGTTTCCTAGGTTTGGTGCTTTCCTGGGTTTGGTGGAATGGCCGAAATAAATAACCACCTGTCAAAAATCCAGTGTCTTTGTTTCCACTTTGATTCCTGTGTAATGAAAAATTAGGGCCCTATACATATCACTTCCTCATGTTTCTCTGATTAACTTTCTATTTTACTGTATCATAGAGTATACGTGGTCCTCGAAAATACGTACTTGTGCCTTGTCTGGAGTGTCTTTACCCTGTGTCTTCACTTCCTTCAGTACCCAGGTCAAATATCACACCTTCCTCCAAGTCTTCTCCTTCCTCTCTCCATTTGATCACAGGTATTTCTCTAGAACAACTTCTCACTTCATCATTCTATTTAAGGTACATTTGGTTTTGCTTGACATCCCTTCCACTCAGTAATAACCAGCCTGCAAGTCTTTGAAAGCCTGATCTATATGTAACCCAAGTATTGCTCCTGGACATGCCAAGTCTTCCAATTCAATCTGATCACTCTTTTCTTTAATATTTCAATTAAAATGGCTTTAGTGTCTCTCTTAGATCAGATTCCCCAGAAGCAGACCTTGAGAAAAAGATTCATGTGCAAGTAATTTGTTAACGAAGTGTTCCAAGGAGAAACGGGAAAAGGAGTAGGATGAGCAGGACAGAACAGGGAAGGAACCTAGCAGGGCCATCAGGTAAAGTCCTATGGAGGGTGGCTTAGCCTTGTTCCAAGAGGAAAGTCTGGATTATGAATTTGCTTAAATTTTGTCCCAATTCCAGGTAAAAGAACTGTTCTGTCATTCTGCTATACCAGGCTGGGGGCACACGAGCCCTCAGGGCATCCAATTCTCTCTGTGTGAAGGCAACGCTGTCTAGCAGCTGGAGGGGAATCCTCCCAAGAGATCAGAAGGCATGACCATGAGAAACCAAAGCACACAGAATCCTGCAGAGGAGTGCACAGAAATGGTAAAAGGATCTGAAGGAGCTGGGCAGAGCTCTTCAGGGCCTAACCAACATGTCTCCCTCTTAGATCTCGGGATATTCTTGGGAGCTTTATATTTCAGACAGTCACCTCTTCTTCCAGTTTTTTGCCTCCTCCGAAATCTCATTCTCCTTCCTGTTTACTTACCTACTATGGCTGGCCTCTGGTTCTCCACTGCATCTTAATCAATAATACAGAACATCATCTCTTTTCTTTGATTTCTTCAAAATAGCAGTCACACAAGAAAGTTGCACAGGGGACTTTTACTAAAGCTTTAGAATTAACAGAGGGGTATATGGCTGGCTACACAAGGCTGGACTTTCACATCGAATGTTACAGAACTGTGATCTAAAAAGACCATTGCCTTTTCCTGCCACCAGGAATATCTTCTGGCTGACTTTCTCTGCATGACCCTGCCAGCCTCTAGGCTTTTCTGGTCTGACAGTTTCCCTTCTCAAATCTCTCCTTGTCACACTTCATCCATTCTTGCTCCTACTACTCCAGAAATCCATTTCCCTTCACTTTATTAGGGAAAACATTTTAGCTTTCTGTCTTCCCCTAGTCTCAGGGCTTTTATATCCAAATATTCATGAATGTACTCAAATAAACAAAGGGCCATCCATTCCAGGTCTGGGCAACACGCCATAGAGAAGATTCAGGAGAATCTCTAAAATGTGAGTCCTTCCATATTTCCTTCCCTGCGGTCTCTATGGGGGGCAGTGTGGAAACATTTTTGCACTTAGGTGAATCATCCCACTATCTTTTTATTTGTTAATTCTAAATTAATTACACCTAATTATAATTATGAAAGTAATATATGCATATGAAAATAAGAATTCAAACCTTACAAAGGGATTTATAAAAAATAAAAAACAATTCTGTCCTGCTTCAGTCCTACTCTATTTTGAGTTTTTCTGCTAATTACCTTAATCACTCTGAAGAGGATGCACACAATATATCATTTGACTTTTTATCTCTGAACCATATATTTTAATAATTTTATTTATTTATTTATTTTCCCCCAAAGCCCCAGTAGATAGTTGTATGTCATAGCTGCACATCCTTCTAGTTGCTGTACGTGGGACGCGGCCTCAGCATGGCCGGAGAAGCGGTGAGCCGGTGCGCGCCCGGGATCCGAACCCGGGCCGCCAGCAGCGGAGCGTGTGCACTTAACTGCTAAGCCATGGGGCCCGCCCTGAACCATATATTTTGATTTCCTGCTACAAATGATCAATCTAGCTCCTACTTTCCCTCTCCTCTCACTCTCAGTCAGTCTCATTTAATTTTATATTCTTTTACTAAATACTTGTCTTTATGGGTTTAAATAATGCACTTAAACCTCTATTATTTATGCAATTTTATTTTTAATAATTTACTATTTTATTAAAGTAATACAAGTTAGATAATTAAACAGTCAAACAATCCCAAAAGACTTGTAATGAAAACTCTAGTATTCTGACCCACTCAATTCCACCCTTTGGTCTCATTCCCCTAAAATAACCACTTTCAACTCCTTTAGCTCTTTCTTATATTTATCTATATATTTCCAAATAATATTCTCATGCTACTTATGTTTATTTATTATTTTTAAACATTATGTATTGACTTACTATTGAAAGAGAATAAGAATTTAGGTCCTTTACAGCACCATCTTTCCTCACAGTGTCATTATATCCCACTCTTTGGTTAAATTAATATTCAACATTTATACTACTATGACTTAGCAAATCTTGATCTTTGCTAAACCAAGGTAAGCCAAGCAGTGGTCTATGAATATATTTCCTTACAAGACAACTCTTTAACCTTTATGGTATTAATAATTTATCTTGTTTTTTGGTTTAGTTTTCTATGTTCCTGTTGCTGATTCTTGCTATATGCTCCAAAGATCTGTCATAGTCTAGCAATATATTTCCTAATGCTCAGACACATCAGATGCTGTTTCAACTTCACACACTTGCCCAACACCACACCTGGAGACTTCCCTCCCAGGCCCTCTGTTCAGTGGTTCTGAAATGAACTGTTTACTTTTAAATCTTAGGTCTTCTCTTTGCTGTTCTCTATACTACTTTCATTCCAAATCTTAATCTGTTCTGGTTTATTTCCTCATTTTTGCTGGAACAGATCCTTCAGAATGTGCCTAAGAAAGGATGCCTGGGAAGTAAATTTTTGAGTCTTTACATGTCTTAAAATATCTTTTTTTGCTACCCTCACAGTTAATTGATAGATTGCTTGTATGTAGAAGTCTGGATTCTGTCAAAATTTTGAAGGCATTTCTCCATTGCCATGTGCTTTCCAGTGCTGCTATGGAACAATCCATGATATTCCAATCCTTGATACGTTATTGATCTCTTTTTTCTCTCTCTCTTTTCTCTCTGGGAGATTTTATTTCTTCTCTTTATCCTTGCAGCCTTGCTGTAGGATGTTTTTCATGTACTGACCTAGGTACTTGCTGGAACCTTTAAATCTGGAAATGCATGTGTTTCAGATCAGGGAAAATTTTTAGAATTTTTTTTATGTTATTTTCTGTTTTGATTTTATTTTGTCATATTTGTTTTGTTTTCCCTTGGAATGTTTTCTAGTAAAATATTGCTTTAATCTTTCTTTTCTGTCCTACTTCCCATATCTTGTTCTTTGTGTTTTACTTTTTGGGAGATTTTCTTGACTTTGTATTTTAAGACTTTTATTGAAGTTTAAAATCTATTTATCATATTTTAATTTCCAGCGGCTTGTTCTTGTTCTCTACATATTCCTTTTACGTAGTATCCTGTTCTTTCTTCATGGATGCAATGTCACTTTTTCTGTCTCTCAAAATATTAATTATAGAGTGGGTTTTGGGAGACATTCCTTGCTCTCTGTTCATATGAAGGAATGGGACCCTAAAATATTGATTTACATATCTGTATGTATGAGTGAGGTTTCTCTAATATTGAACTTCTCTGTAACATGATGGGCAGCAAGAAGATTTAACTATTTGTATGTTTGTTTTATTTTTAAATAGGACGTGTATCTTCAGGTCTTTTCTCCGGGGGTGCTCAATGCCTCCTGAGAAGATTTCTGGAATCCTCTCCCTATTGATCCATCAACCTTAGTCTTTATCTTGAGTTTCTACTACTTATATGTACTATGTAAAATGAAGAAATGAGTGCTTCTAAGTTTATGTTCAACTTCACTGCCCTTTCCACCTGTCAAGCTCTGTCTACATCCTATTATTTTTGTACTGCATCATTTATAGCACTTGGATTCTATCCAGTATCTATCACCCCTTCCCATTGAAGGCAGAACTAACCTGTGCCATATACTACACTTACTATTTCATTTCTGGGCTTTGTTCACAGTAAGTGTTCAATAATCATTTCATAAAAAGACATTTGAAGTTCCATGAGCTTAAAGCTTAGTACAGAAGATCAATTTTTAAAACTCTCTGCTGAATGTAATTCCTTCTATGATGCCACAAACCAAAAACAAGTGATCTGTTCCTTTTCTGCATTTAATGGAGAGCCCAGGGCCATGAAAAAGGTTAGGAATAGCCAAGACAATCTTGAAACAGAACGAAGCTGGAGGACAAATCTTACTAGATTTCAAGACTGATTATAAATCTATATTAATTAAGACAGTGTGGTATTGGTACAAATAGAATCAAGCTGACTATGCAGCTGAATAGAGAATCCAGAAATACATATAATTTATATTTATCTTAATATATTTACCTTAATTGTGACAAATTTGACTCTTCAATGTGATGGGAAAGGATATTTTTTTCAATACATATACCCTAGGTCAATTGTAAAGCTATGTGGAAAAATTGTATCTTGACCCCTACCTTATCTACCCAAAAGAAATACAAAGTGAATTATAGATCTACATGTGAAAGGTAAAAAAATAAATAACACACATAGGAGAATATCTTCATGATCTTGAAGTAGGTAAATATTTCTTATATACAACATAAAAAGCATTATGAAAAAAACTTATAAATTGTCCAATATTAAAATAAAGACTCTATTTATTTAAAGACACCATTAAGATTCTCCAAAGAGGATGTACAAATGGTCAGCAAGCACATGAAAACATTCTCAGCATTTTTAGTCATGAGGGAAACACAAATTGAAACCACAGTGGCATACCACTTCCCACTCACTAGGATGATTATAATTTCTTTAAAAAATTGAAAATAACAAGTGTT